GGCATTGGCTGCCATATCTTTCTGGATACTGTGAGGCACAACTCCTTGGATACTTTTGGATAATAATAGTTGTACACTGGTTTTTTAGATATATCTAGTCTAATCATCAATGAGTAAACAACACCAGATTAGGTAATGATGGCCATGTTGATCTTTTGAAGGGGGTAAACCATCTATCCTTTTTTTGAGGAGCCATGGAAAGAAAATTTTCCATAATCCACGTCCTGTGAAAACCTTGCCACTTCTTATATGGTTCCTGAGAGAAAAGGATCAACTGGCCAAAGGAGTGATATTATGGAGGTGGAGTTTTTAAAAGAGAGAGAGGCCTAAGGAGGAAAACCTTCAGGGAGAAGGGAAAAACCTAGCTTTGGCAGGAAAAATGAAGGGAGAAGGGAAGGGAGAGATAAGAGTAAAAGAAAAGAGTATATAGAAGAGAGAGGAGAAGATAGGAGAAGGGAAATAAAGAGGTATGGGGAAGGGGCATAGAGAGAAGAGAAAAGAGGAGACGAGAAAAGAATAAACAACTCAAAAATTTCCTAAAAAGGAAATTTTCAAGCGTAAAAAGGGGGAGTGGAAAAGAGTTTTTTTTTATTTTGATCGATTACTACTAAATATTTAAACTTAAACAAAAATAATATTACTAATAATAATAATATTATTAATTATCAACTATTATATCAACAAAAAAATATATTATCAATACTTGTTATATATCTTGAACAAATATTTAAAATTAAAAATTAATAATAAATATATAGTATATAATCATAAATTATATCAACTTAATAAAATGTAAATCACATTTAAACAATAATTAAGATTTTTTATTATTATCAAATTAAATTAATAATGTATATACAATATATATTAATTATAAAAAATTTTATTTTTATTTTATTTATATTAATTGCTTTAATAAATTTTATTTTAAAATAAATTGTTTAAAACTTTTTTTAAATATATTACTTTATTTATTCTAGATGAAAAATATTTAAAGCTTATATAGTATAATATTAAATTATATATTTTATATATTATATTTGCAATAAACACAAAATTTTAATATTTTTACACAGTAAATACAATGTTAACGATTCAAGATTATTAAAGTTAATAATTTAATTCATCTTTAGAAAGATCAATTACTTAAATTCAAAAATTAATATAAATATTAAAAGAAAAAAAATATCATTATTTAAATAAGTGAATAGAGTTTCATAACAAAAAAAAAAATTTCTAGATAACATAAATTACTAATGAAAGATACTACTTATAAAGCATGGTTATCACTCAATCAATATTGTTACCATCATTTCCATGAAATTCTGATGTTTTAAAAGCTCCTTTGAAGACATTTGAAACAAATAACATTTCTTCGTTCAATTTTTTTATCACTTCGTTGTAACACCATGCCCTTAATTCTTGTTGCGTATTGCCGGAAGTATTATTGTTAACAGTTTTATATCCCATCAGTGTACAAACATTCGAATAAGAATTAAAGGTTTCATTGACCAACTCATTTGTATGTAGTACACCGCTATACAAACTTTGGTTGGGTGATTTGCTTCGAACATTGAGGTTGTTATTAAGATCGTTTGTCGACTCAATCACAGTAGAAGTGGTTCCGTCTCCGGTCAATGCCGTATATCCATGTTTACCTTTCCTTACCGACCCAAATCCAATGGATTCTTTTTCCAAAGATTTATTCAGAGCTTGTTGAAATCCGATCGGCGGCCCTCCCCAACTTCTCCAACGTGATTTTCTTGTGTCGTGATTTGAAGATTTGGAATTATCGATCGAAGAAAGACGATAATATATGCTGTCTATTCCGGTAGATCTATGCTGGAGTTTTTGATGCACGAATGTCCTTAGATATAAATTTAATGGCAACTTATATAATAAAATAAATTCTAAAAATTTCCATAAAACGAAATCGTAAGCAGAAGAGGTAAGTGATGATCTTGAGAGAGGAGGATGTAAAAGTGATGTTGAAGACGCTCTCAGATTGTCGGGATGTAGATCAGGAGTGATGCTCACGTTTGTAAAGCTTTCTGAAGGCGATGATCCGCCAGAATACAACCCGGAACGGGATGCTTGCGGTTTCCCTGAAGAAGCAAGGTTCTTTCGCAAAAATTGCGCGATATTAACCCACATGCCTTTTGTCTGCGAAATATATTTATCCGCACGAACAAATAAAATTTTTAATGCTATGTAACCAAATATAAAAGTGGCTGTATCAGCAGTTGAATCAACTTGGGTCTCCTCTTCATTCTCGTTCGCTTCCAAGTCTTCAACATTATTCATAGAAGTGGTTGACGCACGTGGTTTTCTCGTCGATCTTTGAGTGAAATCTTTGCTACATACTTTTGTGACATACACTAAAAGTCTATTCCAGGTGATCTTTATGTTAAATTCGGGTGATTCTATTTTGGATACGATCACGACGTCTTCTGGGTTGTATTTTAAACATATTGGTATGATGATGTACGTCATGAGGTAATGAGATGGATGGTACTTATCAATTTCTGATAACATGTCCAATTTAGAATGTGTCATCATCGCGACAAATAACTCGACCAAACCATTGCAGAATTTTTGTTGCGTCTGCTCCGCCCCGATTTCCCAATCTGACCTCAAGGCTATAGATAATCCGAAAGACACAAATTTGTCTTTTAGCAAATGTGCCATCTCGAAATCGTTAATGGCGAATTTACATTTACTAGTTGCAATTAAAGCGAGTCCCTCGAGCAAACCCGAAAAATCGATGGATTTGTAGTGCTGTCGGAAAGAAGTCGAGAGGTGACGTAAGAATGATAGAATAGGTTTTCGTCCATCTACAAAGGTAGTGTTGAAGAGTAAAGCGTCGCAAATGTAATTCTTGAGAAAAGCAGTTGAAATCTTCATTTTAACAGAAGCGTAATCTTTAAGCATCAGGCGAATTATATTGGCCATTTTATTGTGACAATTATCTGTCAGCATTCCGTCGTGCAATTTGTAAACTTGGACCAACATCAAGAATTGTCTTTTAATTTTTATTCGGTCATTTTGTTGCCACTGCTTCCCAAAGGCTTGAGTTGTAGCTTCTTGAATGTTAAAAGAAATGCCATCAGCGGTATCCATATTTTCGTCCGAGATGTTATCGATGATCGCACTTCCAGAAACTCCTGTTGAACTTACAAGTGGCTTGGAAGATTTTGAGAATTTAAGGAATACTTCGGTTAAAGCGACCATTCCTTCATCTACCAGTCCACGAACGGTCGAAGATTCCTGCAAAAGGTGCGGTATCAGGTATCGCAGGATCTGAACGAATTGCTCTGCTCTGAGAGAGCCAGGATCATATGCTATTATTGTAAGGAATAACTTGACCAAGTCTTCCAAGGGAAATATCTTATCTTGTGCTCCTAGAAAGCTGGTTTTTAATTTGACATTGCCCTTCAACCCAAACGTGTTGTTAATAGTGTTATTGATAATTGAAGGCGCATCAAATAGAAAAGGATCGGAAATGTCTAATTCTTCGGCAGCATCTAGTATTCCAAGCGAGTCTTCAAAATTCACCGGAAAATTTAAAGCACGGAACAATTCGTACAAAGAAGTGCACATCCATTCACATACTTTTGGAGATTTTGATGAACCTTTTAGTATTAATGGCGTCAAACATCCAAGAGCTTGGAAAATAAATGATTCTCCGTGTGCATGAAAGAACTTGCACCATGCAAATATTATAGCTTGTCTAATAGGCCTGACACTCTCCGACTCACAGAATATTTTAAACAGCACAGGTATAATTATAGAATACCCGCGATTGGTATCAAATAATCTACGAAATCTTGTTGCCGCGGTCATGAAGAGAACCAATGTTTGCCCAACTATTCCAAAGTCACCAGCGTGTTCCAGCAAAATATTATTCGCACCACTGAGGAACAATTCGAGCTCGTTACGATCATTGTAATTTTCGTTTAATCTTCTTAGTAATTCTAGCAGAAAATTCAGCCATGAGCGAGCTCGCAGAGCGGAAAGCAATTTGAAATCCCTTCTTCTTCGTGTAAACACATCATCATGTTCGTTCAACCATCTTTTCATTTTCTTCATGTCGGGTAGAATCTGATCGTCGTCAACTTCAGCCTTTGTTTCTCCGCTACCATTGCAGGAGGGTAAAGGTTCAAAAGCGTGAATTAATTTCTTGATTGAATAAACTTCGCGAGGACATTTTACGGCATAATTGGTCATGAAGTGTATGTGACCAATTCGAAGTATAGCAACTTCAAATAACTCCAGAGGTACATCCAAGATGTCAAATGACGTCTGATTATCCGTTAAGTTACGCGGGAACATGGTAATGGGCGTTCCTTCTGTGAACCAGAATTGTCCATTGTTACAGATAATATTTTCGATCTTATTTTTCCGAAAATCGCGGACCACTATGCCATTGACTGATGGAACCATTTCAGCCAATATTGGTAAAACGTAGGTCATGAGTGAAAGACCGTCGTCCATGTTATCCCGCGAGTACCATTTTAACATCCCGGCGAGATGGTTGAATAAAGTATACGTAAAGTTAGAAGGGAGGTTATGTTGCATTGATACAAGAAATTGAATTCGGGTGAGCAATTCCTTTTGCGCTTCGGATTTTGATAACCCCAAATCGCTGAAAAAATTTCGCAAAAATAGCAGTGCATCATCTCGAAGAAAGTACGTGATAAGTTCTTTGGCAAGGTTATATACACCACCGTGTGTGTCATCAAGTAAATCCACAAATCGCAAAGAAAATGTACTCAATATAGGAATTGAAACTGTTCTTCGTTTATTAGAGTTTAGCTGCATTTTGTTATTAAAAGGTGTATAAGCATTATTCTTTTTTTCGTTGGACTGTGTCGATGCAGATTCCTCTGCGTTCTTGGATTCTTCTTCATCAAGGTAAAAAGTTGGCAAAAGAGAGATCGGCGTTGCAACTCGTACGATTTGTTCTTGATCACTTTGATCTTCTTCTTCCCACCCAAGTTCTTGTATTCTCTTACGCACATCAGCTGACAATGTATCATTAGTCACCTCCTGGGCTTTGAATGTTTCGTACATCACCATATCTTGACTTCCAAGTTCAGTTGGAACAAAGAGAATATGAGGAGCCTGGGTGCGAAAGGGCCGCCGACGACTCGAGTCAGAGACGTAAGGCTGAGATAACAATTGATTTCGGTGACCAAATAATGAAGAAATCTTGCGAATTGTCATTGCACGAACTAACGCGTTGGTACTGTGTAAAATAGGATGCAAGATAAAAAGATTTTATATGTGAAAACTGGTTTACATAAATATATGAGTAGGGAATTATATATACCTATAAAGATCTCTCATTACCAGTCCCTTGACAATTTCTGGAGATTTCTCGCTACATTGTATAAACAAAAAACACGCAGATGAAAATTGTTTATGCTCTCGATCATTTAAGAATCGGTCCCATATGTAAGGACCAAGACTTGAATATTCATCGTTTGATAGGGTAAAATAAATCGTCACCAAAAGCGCTAAAATCGATGATGCGTGATCTTCGTTGAAATTATTTAATCGGTGAAGGCGTTGCTTCGATAACGGAGGATGATGAGATGTCTTTAAGGTTGAGAGAACGGTAAGACGATTTCGTGCATAATTGTGCGATGTCAGAGTTTTTCGTATTAGAGAAGTAACGGGTATAACTTTAGATATTGCGGGAACAGGATCGCTCAACAAATCGCCCTGTCGAGATAGCATGAGATCAGAGTTGGTGAAAGGTGTATTACATTAAAAGTCTTGCAATAAACATACTCTTTCAAGATCGGCCGAAGTCCAATCATCCAACGTTGCATAGACAACTTTAACTCTTTGAAATATTAGTTCGACCTCACTGAGTTGGTTTGGGTCCACGTCAAGATTCGAAGATAGATCTCCGTTAATTAAAAGATCTCGATATATGTCTTTACCAGGAGCTGAAAGAATCAACCAATCTACAATCTTCGATAACCATCCAGGACTTTATTCATGAACAATAAAAAGTTTCATAATTATTTAATGTATGAGTGTATCAATAGTAATTTTGTACTCACCGATAGGTTATTTTACAATATAACCGTATCTCAAAAAACAAATTGCTTAATAAGACGCGCAAAGGCATGGGTACTAGACTTGTTTTTTCCTGGAATTGGGAAGAATCGCGAGATAAATATTGAAACCGAAACCATTACAAGAAAAAACGTAACTTACTTTAGCTATCATGAACACCGCCAAACGAAGTTCCAGATCCTTCAAAAAATTCTTGGCATAGGCCTCTGCCTTAACATCCTTAGAATGCTAAAAGATTTCATGGTCTTAAAGTTTGCCAGTGAAAATGTTAACAAGTTCTTCGAGAATCTTACCCCTGATTGCTGCAATCTTAATTGACGAATCACCCATATAAACTCCATAGTGATGGCACATTGACCGAGAGTTGTTGTGCCCCATGGAACCTTTGATATAGTGCTTGTGGTTAAAACAGAAAGCTTCGATTCGTGCTTGTTCATTTCAGCTTTTGGCGTACCCGAGCCAACATCGCTTAGAATAACAACGCTCATTAGTTCAGCATTCTGCATAAACAGCTCTACACCACTCATATAATTTCCTAGTGTTGATATCAAATGCAGATGTTCAGATACTTTTTGTTCTGAATCCGAAGCAACACAAGCGATCATAGGTTTGTAAAATTCTGCGCTGTGATTGGATGATAATGCTAACAGCAATTTCTTAAGGCCCGGTGAATTCTCGGGTTGCAACGATACAATTTTCTTTAAAAGAAAAAAAATATGTCAATAAAAAATTGTGCATCAGAAACTAGCTCTTTTTGAATTAAAACGTTCACTCGCCGAAAATAAGTCCGGAACAGTCACGGATACAATCTCACGACCGATATCGTCATTTATGCCAAACACCATTTGTTCAAATACGGCAATAATTTTTTCGAATCGTTCTTGTTCAAGCTAAGTTGTAAGATAATAGTTGGTGTTATTAACAATCACAACCGCAGAACAAGGGATGAGAAGATGAATACACATACAGTTTCTTTTACAAGGCCGATAATTTCTTTTTTCCATCCTTCACCCCATAAGGATTTGATATACGATCTTGCTAATCTCAAAATCTCATTATCAGTCTGCTTGTGGTTTGCTCGAGAATCATCCAGTGATGGTTGCCTATCTGGAGATTTTTCTTTTTCAGAAGATTTTCTTCTAGAATCGTCATAACTTTGTTGGATATCAATACTAGCTGAGCTCTCATTTTTAGGTATAAAGGTGGAGCGTTGATTTTCGGTTGTGGGCATGAACGAAGATGTCCTCGAAGGTGAGTCATCCGCCCGTGCAAGAATAAAAGAAGATAACGCTACTTTAGCAAGAGATCGTACAATGTGTGATGGCATGTCCCGAAGATCTTTTGCCGGAAAATATTTATTCAATACTTGTATGATAATGTAAGGAAGGGACTCGTGTAAATTTTCAATGTCAATTGCGTATGAACTATCCGAAAAAATTCCAAGAGCAGCTTGTGCAAACAATTGGACAAAATGTTCATAGAAAGTGTTTGCTGTCGGATCGGGAGTTATCCAATATTTCTGTTTACGTGGTGTAAATATAACGATTAAGTTTCATTGGTTTCGTATCACAGAACAAATAGTGAAAAGGTATAATGAGAACACTGACCGGAATTAGATTTGCCATAACATATTTTTGTAACTGTACATTCTTGACTAGAATACACTTGATCAAGCCTTCCATGAAAATATAACGTGCCTTGCTACTATTACCGATTGAAATCTCATTGTCTACCAATATCAAAGTGCCAGCAGCTAATCTTTCCAGAAATCCATTAATCATATTATTCAACCGAATGGATTCTTCCGATTTCTCGGCTCCACCGGAAATCACCACCAGGGTATGAACAAATGTATATATGAGCGAATGAATTGATGTGACCGAGGCCGGAAAAAATGAATTCATGGCGGTTGAATTAATAAACTTTTCAACAATTTCGCACAATCGACTCTGAAGTAAATTTTTGTTTTGGTTACGAATTTTGTATTACAACCAAACTTAGATTCTCAGATCAAAGCGTTAATTAATATCGATATACCCTGATTAAAACATGCCGCGTCTCTAATAGTCTACAACACCATAGTATTCTTTCGAAATTTTCCTGCCGTGAATAATATTGAAATAAAATCAATCAGAATCTTGTTTAAAAACTTTATGCCACCTTGTGATACTCACATTTTCATCCACAGGTTTGTAATTAGCCTTCATGAATTCAAAAACATTTAATGCCTGATTGCAATCATCAGCTGTAAATTATAAGATTCTTACACGTGAATTTGATAAATGTACACATTTGCCATAGCAAAACGTATCGAATTATTACCATTGACTGAAGAATTAAAGAATGGTTTAGCCAACTCGGACATAATTTCAGGGGTATCTGGCAACCTAACAAGGTGCTTATACTGTTTTAATAAGTTGAGGATTTCAGAAAAAAAATTTCCATGATCCCCAGGATTCCGCAAGATTTGGTTCATGGAGAATTGCTTGCTTCCTGTACTGGGCAAGGGGCCTACTGATCCACTTATACTACCACTCGTTCCGTGACTGCCATATCTTCGTGACATAAGCTTTTCGAAATCCTTTTCCAATCTATCAACATCAGTTCTCTGTTGAACTGTTGCCTTAAAACGCAAGACCCCAAGCAAAGGATTAGCCTGATTATCGCGTCTCGAAGAAGACTTTGACGCTTCTACTTGAGCCTCATTTGAAAAGCTCGCTTGCGGGGTGTGCAGCGATGCCTGCTTTTCACCGTCATTCCGTGATGGAACGATTATTTCTTCCATCACGATTTCCTTTAAAGTATGCTTAGACATGTTCAAAATCCTTTCGTACGATTTGCGTACGTGAGTGCTACTAGAGTCGTTTCAAGTTCGGAAGTTAATAGCGAGACTTGAATCACGTGACATACATGTTATTGCAAGAAAAAAAAAAGGAATAATAATAATTCCTGTTTAACTGTATGGAGAATGAGCAACTTGCATACAGGGTAGGTTTTTAATCATATGTATGCCACCTTGTGACTTAACGTTACACATATACTGACAATGAAACTTTTGTCCTGTACAGAATAAATTACTCAATTGTTTATTTTTGTGAATGAGTGATATCAACCATTTTCTTTATACATTTATCATTAAAGTTTTTACATAAGTTACTCTATGTCGATATTACCACTTCAATTGTCAAATTGGCATAATGTTCGCCAAATGTCACTTCCAGATTAATAGTATCTTTTCCACCCGTATTCTGTGACTCACCACTAGGTCGATAAACCAAAGTGTTCAGGAGGGAATTAACATCTTTTTTCGTTGGATTATTAATCGTTATGGATGTTTCACTCCAATATCCGCCATTCGCGTTAAACGATAATTTTCCTTGCGCAGATTTGGCAACAATGGCAGATTTAGACGCGTTAACAGGACCGCCACGTACAAAAATAACGTCTAATCCCTGAAATTTTCCATCCAAAGAGCCAGCGTATGAATCCACTTCATCAGCAGTTGTTGAAATAAATTGGTATTTTTTGGGTCCTTCCAGAACAAATGGATATGTTGATTTGTGATCTTGGAGGATCGGTTTCCCGTCACTCACCAATGGTGCCGATGCATGCGGTAGATCCAAAGTAAACTTTTTGGTGACCAAATCAATTACGCTTCCTTTTCCTATCGATTTCGTATTAGTCATCTTTCCAAATAAATGAATGGTCCAAGAACTCTTTACAATTTGTTCTAGTTTTCGACTTGCTATTTGATCGAAAATGAAAAGTTCATTTATGCTAAGGTAATTCCGTGGATAAAGAATCCTTCCAGGAAGTATAGTGAGTCCGTGTTTTTCTAGAATGTCCCGGTGTTGTTTAATGTACATCGTAATCGCACGAGGACCCGCGCAATTGAAGCACGAAGTTATGTATGTCAGAGAGAACGCCAGTTCTGCAATTTCTCGAAACATTGACCGACCTTTACGAAAACGCATGATTCCAGGCGCAAGATATGTACCTTCTGCATCGAGTGTCCATTCAAAATCCGATGAAAGTTTAGAAATATCTGAGCCAATAAATTCCGTTCTTGTATCTGGCGGTGCACGTATCCAGAACGTATCCATATCCATATACGTACCACCATATTTATAAAGGATTAAATATCTCATGTAATCGGTGAGATGTGTAAAAAAGAATTGAGAATTCTCCCACTTGATCCAGTTTTGGATCCAGTTTTTTGAGTTCTGACCAAGAAACCACTGTCTGTCTAATATTATATCCTTGTTAAACTTGATCACATATATTTGATATCCTTGATTTTTATATTCGGTGAAGAAATCATCAGGCAGAGTATTTGTAAGAACAAAAACAATGGCGTTTGGAGTATGCACCCATACGAGCTCAATAGCTTTGTAATGACGTTCCTGGAAAGTTGAGGAGTCTGTCATCCAAAAGACCCAATGCAATAAATACCATTGATCTGTATTAGAATAGACAGATGAATGCCGCGAGAGAAGTCCAGGTATTATCCATTCATCATCTTTACCTCCCATAGTAATGTTTAGAGGACTATCAAATACATTGACAGGGGTTTTCGAATCTATGAGTGCAAATTTTGGTTGATGCAGTAGGGTAATTCCTTTGACGCCATCACAATCAAAGTTCAAATCTTTCCAATGATCTTCCCTGCCCCAACAAGGATAACAAAACGCGCAAAACCGTTGCCTAAATCCTTCGCACAACCGTCTTTTATTAACAACGTTTTCATACATCTCCTGCATACTTCGATCTTTCTCGTAAGAATCGCCAAAATGTTTTGCAATCATGTCATCTTCACAGACATCTGCTTTTTGTATACGTTTATCGTGAATAGGTTTGATGTTGTATGGGAAGAGCCATACTCCTAGATTCTGGTCTTCGCTCTTCGTGAAAAGTCGAGGAGCGTCTGTGACGATGAGTGAAATTATGTCACGCGACAAAATGTAAAGCACCCCAGCCGTAAATGGGGGAAGCAATGGTAGCTTATAATCAAACGCTGAATTTTTATTGTCAACATCATGACTAGGTGGGATGTTCCTGCATATCGGCCGAGACTGATGCAGTAAGTCCGAGGCATGATAATAGTAAATAGATTGTAGCAATAAAAGGGACATACCAGTATCCAAGACCACGCCAATAATATCTTTTATCCGATCCCAACTCTTCCAACTCCCGAGAGATAATATCCATGCGAACAAAAACGTCATCGTCCGTTTTAATAATGTAATTGAAATCATATTCGTTTGCCCATTCAAAAGCTTTGTAAAGCTTGTGACTAAGATCACTGTCAAGGTCCGAACTTGGCACAATGATGATGTCGCCGTATTCATCCGACTCTGCAAGGATTTTTTGACCCAAGGTAGAATGAACCTTCGCGGAAGGTGAATTCCCGAGGATAAATCTGTAAGAAACAGAGATTCTATTGGAATTCGAAGGAATCAGTTTGATCGATGTATCACGGAAAGCCTTCCTTTTTCGATATCCATTTTCTTTCCAGGAAGATAATACGATCATAATTACTTTGACTTCAGAGTCTGATTGAAACTCACTGAGAGTCACGTTATAATTCAATTTGTAATTGGTTGATCTGAAATTGGCGGCATAACGAAATCTTGACTGTTGTTCCAGCAAGCACATCATGGTGAAAAAGGCGACAATTGCTAAAGGGATAACAATATATTTCAATATGTCTTTCCATGTCATTTGCCTTATTACCTCGAGATTATGGATCTTTTGATATTTCGCGGGAGATGTATACAACCACTGAATGGCATTACTAAAAGCCAAAACAATGCTACACACCACCCAAGCCATTACTGGTTCATCTGATCCATAATGTGACACGACAAATGCCGTGATAACCCAATTGATGGCTTGTAAGGAAATTAGTCGGATAATAGCACTGCTAACTTCATAATGAAAGATCCATCTGCGCATTAAGCCATCGGCTAGCCAATAACTCCAAAGACCGGCCAATAAGCACTAAAAATGTGTAACCGAAAAAATGAGTTTCTAAATCTATCGCACGTGAGAGAACATTATCGAGCGAAACTTCAGTTAGTCGGAATTTCTTCGAAGAAAAAAAAGTGACGAAGAAACTGAACGAATTTTATTATCGTTCTCCAGATCAAATCAGCCACCATGAATTGACCGCTAACATTTAAAACATCTCGCCTATATGATATATTGCAAACCTCTATGAACCACTACACAACGATTATTACGTGATCTGTGGATCGTCAATTATTGAGCAATAGATAAGTTGAATCACTTACCCACATGGCGCCTAGCCAATAATCCAATTCGGTACATTTCGATTCCGTTAGGTTACCAGCTTCATGCAAAGTAACTTGATTTGCTGCAACAATAAAGGAAATGAAGCAGTAGCTGGCAGGTACTAAACTAAGAGCTCGAAGTATGAAGAGTGGTGGACGAAGCTTTGGAGACCCCAACGGACGACCAAAGGGTGGTAGGTGTGACTGCTTAAGCAAAAAGAGAAAATTAGGCATCTCTACAGAAGTGACTAGAGTCAATGATATAACTAAGGATCTGTCATGACATTTTATGTAACTTTCCAAGGAGTGTGCGTACCACTACCATATTGGAAAAATATAACGGATTTCTTCGAACGTCACGTTCAATTAAACAATATCGTCTTCCGGCAAGTATACGCTATGCTTTAAATTGGTGGAATAACTTGAGAATTCAAGAAGACGGCGTTTTCGTTCGAACTATATTCTTTTAAGAAATGTAAGCATTCTGATTTATTACTATTGATAAATGAGTTACACGGAAGTATTCATGTGACAATTATATCGATATGATTAGTTGTGACACGGATAATTTTTCGCACACCGGGATCTATAAATAAAAATTTTTTTACAACCTTAAGACCTCCTCTACAAATTAACGTCACTTAAACAAGATGTCTAAGCGAGGTAAAACAATTGTGTTTTATCAGCCGACGATGTTATAAATATATAAATGTTGAATAATGAAATACTCGAGTGGATTCTTGCACGGATCTACCATTAGAAATATTGAGAAGAAAAATTATACGAGCACTTTCTTAAGATTATGGTAGACATTAAACTGTAATACTCCTTAATTTTGGATTAATGATAAACTTTCTTTTTATGATATTATAGGACGCGGTGGTGGTAAGTAATAACTTCTAATGCATTTAATGATTCAAACCTTCAATTCTTTTGGTAGATAACTGTTTTCAATTATTTAGCTTCCGGAAACAAGTTTCGAATGACCTTGGGTCTCCCGGTCGGCGCGGTTATGAACTGTGCTGATAACTCTGGAGCCAAAAATTTATATGTGATCTCTGTTAAAGGTATCCATGGTCGATTAAACAGATTGCCGGCAGCTGGTGTCGGTGATATGGTTATGGCCACTGTCAAAAAGGGCAAACCGGATCTAAGAAAAAAAGGTAAATCAGACGATCCAATTATAATCAGCTATTTTTTCTTTCGCAAGGTTGTATTTATCATTCCCTCACATTCACAGTGATGCCTGCCGTTGTAATCCGACAAAGGAAACCTTGGCGTAGAAGGGACGGTGTCTTCCTTTATTTCGAAGGTAAACCAATTTCTTCCGTTCTGCTGGTATTTCTGATCATGCTTTCTAATCATCACTATCTACAATAACAGATAATGCAGGTGTCATAGTGAATCCTAAAGGAGAGATGAAAGGCTCTGCTATTACGGGTCCTGTCGGAAAAGAGTGTGCTGACCTTTGGCCCCGTATAGCATCGTCATCCGGAACCGTGGTAAGTAATAACTTTAATTATTTTACCGAATTTACTCTTTTGAAGTGCTTCTTACAAGAATAATTTCTGTACAAGGTTTAATGCGAAAAAATTGGGTCTCTTGTTTTTTCTGGAATGCAAATTAAATAATAAATATGATTGATAAATTTTTTAAATTTCATTCTCATATCATTATCTGTACCTTTAGAGAAATATTAAGTAAAATTGTTTAAAACCTTGATTGTGTTTGTTTCCCTATTGTCTATAAACAGATGTATTTTTTGATATTAACATTCACAACAATTGGCCCGCCTGAGAACACAGTTACCCGAAGAACACGTGTACCACTTTCATTTGTGAAACTTAAATAAAAATGATTAAATAATAACTTGTATGCTCTTAACTGAAGGTTATATTTACGACTCTTTTTTAAATGGTAAAATTTGTAGCATGGCCCTTTACGTGTTAAATTATGATTAGTATATTTATTCCGATTCTTTCTTTTTTCAAAGGAGACTTCAAGTGCAAGCTTATTGTCCGGGGCTGCTCCATTTGCGATTTCAGGATCTCTGGAACCGGATGTTGAGGCCGGTCGCGAATCAAACGTCAGAGGCAATATCGAAAGTAATACCGTGCCAGCTTCAGCAGTTCAATCAAATAACAATCAAAATCAAAGCATCTGGGATCAATCTAGGTAAAACAACTTTCATTCTTTAAACTTCATAAAATTGATAACCGAGCTCGTGAGTTCTAACGATCGAATTGTATTCACTCCTCATTACGGATCTTCATATATATAGTCACCCAGTAGCCTTATTCTTTCATCTTTTATTTCGCACAGCGGCCGTGATCGTCTACTTATTTGGTTCCCTCATTACTAGCAATTTTCCCTTAATTTTCATTATATGTGTCTTATTATTATCCTTTGACTTTTGGACGGTCAAAAATGTGTCTGGAAGATTACTAGTTGGATTAAGATGGTGGAATGATATTCAACCGGATGGATCTAATGTCTGGATGTTTGAAAGTCGAGATGTGAGTGTTACTATGAACTTTCGGTAACCATTCTAATTTATATTTTGATCGACAAGTAACGCATTCCTTATTTGCAAAATCCAGCCCTCGAGACCAGTAAATGCTACTGATTCCCGCATTTTTTGGTCCTCGTTATATATTACCGTGGTAATATGGATATTGTTTGCCTTCCTTTCTTTATTCGAACCGAAATGGCTTTTAATCGTAGGCGTTGCCATAACTTTGAATTTGGCAAATGTAATTGGTTACACTCAGTGCGATAAAGATGCTAAGAAGAAATGGGCTACTGGACTTGCCGCAAGAGCTGCCACAGCAAATTCGGGTATAGCTGGAAGGTTATTCTCAGCGGGCCTAGGAAAGATTTTCGGATAGTTTTCGGAACGATGCTTTCCACTTATAATCTTACCACAATTCATTTTGTATCATAAAGAACCTATTATCATTATTCACTAATACGTATAGAAATGATCATTATAGAAACCGTTCGGAGGACTTTTTTTTCAAATCTCGATGTAACCAACGATTTCATCTGCGATGTACGTACTCACATGTGTACGTTTCTATCCGGAAAAAATTTTAATAAATTCTTCTCTTCATATAAACTTGATCGGAAGAGTGAAGGCATTACCAACTCGGAACCTACCAAGAATATATTAGTAATATTCTCTTCAAAAATTATAATTACATCCAATCAAGAAATTGATATTTTAGTGTAGTCAGAATGGTTATTAATCTTTGTAGACATTTAAGGAGAAACTTTAGTAAAATCATATTGTATTATGTAAATTCATTATATATAAAAGGCAATACGATAAATAGATTAACACTGAATAAATAAAACTTATCTGCAATATTAATTATTATATAACGCTAAAAGAAACAAATTTCTATATAATTACTAGAAAATTATTTATTTACATTATAAGCATTAACAATATTTTCATATATTTTCAATTTTTTATTCTGTAATATTTTGTAATCTACTTTATCTTAAAACCTATATAAATAACTTTTATTTTTAAATATTCTATTCTATAAATCTTCAATTTTACTAAATAAAATAATTTCAAAACTTGATATAAAAGAAAATAGATATGCCAAAAATAAATTTTCTAAATTGATTTATATTGATTGTTTTATTTTGTTTTTAAAATCAAGATTGTTGATTTTGATAATATGTAAACAAAATATGTTTATTAAATATTTTAAATTTAAAACCAACTCTAAAAAAATAATTTATCAAAAACTTATTACAAATTTTCAATTGATTAATTTTAATTTAATTTGTATAAAAAAAATAAATGAATAAACATATTTAATATAAATATATAAGTAATTTTTTCAAATTAAAAATTGTATCTAAAACAGAATATATCAAAATATTGTTTAAAATAAAGTTTATAAAAAAATTTTTTTTAATATTATAAAATCTTTTTATTATATTAAAATTAAATTAAAATTAAAAAATTTTATTAAATAGTTTTTTTTAAAACAAAATTAACTAGTCATTCTCTTTTTAAAAAAAATAATTCTTTTTTTTAAAAATAAAAAAATTATTTTTATTAATACTATTTTAACAAATTATTATTTATTTCAAGTTTTACTATATATACAAATCAACTTTAAAAATTTGATTATAAAGTTTTAAATTGTAAAGAATAAAACTTTTGATTAATTTATTAAACTTGAATTATTTTAATAATAGAAATTATATAGAAAAAATTTATTGATTTGATTTTAATATATATATATAGTATATATAATTTTATATTAAAAATCCAAATAAATTTATTTTTTCAAAAAATTAATATAATATCTTTGTCAATTGATATTTTTAAATTATATTATTAATAATTATAAATATTAATAATTATAATAATTATAATATTCCATTATACAATATATTAAAATTATATAAAAACTTATTATTATTATTATATTATGATTTTTTTATAAAATATTAAATATATAAAAGTTATATCTTATTAACAATTTTACTTTTATATTTGTTAACTTAAATCAATTGAAATTTATTAGTGTTTATTAGAAAATTAAAAAGTTTGCTTTTTAAAAATTAATTTGAATTTAATAACATTGTACAAATCAATATATTTTATTTAAATAATATTAGTTTAAAAAAAAATTTTTTTTAATATACTATAGTTTAGATTTAATTTAATCTGTTTAAGAAATGTAGATTCTTTTTAAATACTTTTTTTTATTATTGATTAAGTGCAAGATGATATAGAAAAGGTTCTTACTTTAAACTGTTAAATATTACTTTATATTTGCTTTTGTGTTTTTTATTATATAAGTAAAGATTTGGTTAGTATATTTCTCATTGTTTATTTTTTAAACAATGCTTGATCTACACTAAAAACTTCCATAAATGGGGAATGTCTAAAGCCGTGTCTAGTCACGTGATATGAGATCGGCGTTGGACCCGAGTAGGGCCGAACTAGCCAATTAAACAGTGTGTAAATACCAATACGTACACGTACCAGTATATTATACTCTCTTGTCGAATTTTCGTGTTGTAATAAAAAAAATGAACCCGTCAGCTTTCTTGACAATAGATCCACCTTATACAATGACATCAGACTCACCTTATACAGCAACAACAGATCCACCTTGTACAGTAGCAACAGATCCACCTTATACGACATTAACTCCTAATCAAAAACGCGAACTTCTTTTTAATATTAATAAATCACTCGAGTTGCCAATGCAAGAGTTTGATAATGAATGGTGGCCACTTGTCTCGAACGTTTGGACGGGATTCAATTACAAAAAACAAGTGAATGGTAATTCGTCACAAACTTTTACATGTCGTTTTACCAAACATAATCAATCTAGCACCCGAAAGGAAGGAATTCCAAGCGATAAACGGCGAAAAACAAAAATTCGGTCACCTCATATGTGCTTTGCTAAGATTAAGGTACAAAGATTCATTATAGAAGAGAAAGTAACTGTTGAACGCTTTAAAGACTCACCTGATCATACACATTCTTTAGAAGAAAGTGAAAAAATCAAGCGTTCACAAGTTATTCGAAATCTAGTCAAACAGGAAGCTATAAAAAATTATCATCCACCGGCAATCCTTAATGCAGTGAAAGAGTATGCAATAGAAAAGTTAGATCTGAGTGCAAGTGTAAAGGAACTGAAGCGTAAAGAAGTTGCTAATATTAAATATAAAGTTCGTGGGCCTCTTGATATTCACCTTATCGGCAATCCTAACCATGAATTAGATATCCAGGAATCAGTTTCGTATTTAGAACAGCAAAAATATCAGGTTATGCATTATAAGATTTCCCGTATATCCACCCAAGGTATCGTTTTTGTACACCCAGATCAGATCAAAAATCTTGAGAAATACGGATGGCTAACTCTCATTGATTCGACTCACAAAACCAACAGATATGATTATCGTTTATTCACTTTATATATTCGTAACAGATATGGACATTGGGAGATTGGTGCACATTTCTTCATAAGTAACGAGGATAGTAGTACCATCACAGAAGCCTTAACAATAATCCGACGATTCGCACGCTACTGGAAACCTAGATATTTTCTTCAGGATCAAAGTAACGTGGAAGCAAATAGTATTAGGTTAGCTTTTCCAGGTCTTAAAAATGGCGAGCAAGAGTGTGACATTATTTTTTGTACCGTACACCTTATGCGAACATGGATGAGTAAAATATACGATACAAAAACCCGACAAAGAATGATTCAAGCAATGTACAAAAGAACTAAAATAGGTTGCGAAGCTTTTATTCAACAAGCGATTGATGAATGTTCAATTCCAACTATTAAGCAATATATCTTATGAAACTATATAAAGAATACTCATCAATGGGCACTTTGGGCGCGTCAGCATTCTCCTCTTCTCTTGCAGGTAACCTCGACGAATTCTTTGGAGTCGTATCATTCAGAATTAAAAAGAACAACTTCATCGCAATATGGTTTAATTGGTATGTACTATTTATTAAAAATTTTTGATTTTGGGATGGTCATATACAATAATTCTTTCTACTTTTATTAGGTGCATGCCATAGAGTTATTGCGCTTGATCAAAAAAAACATACAGATTCAGAGTATGTTGCTTTCGAATTTCGTACTAAAAAGATTTCAGTCATGGGCGTAAATCAAGAAATTCTCGAGGAAATTCATAAATTTCCTTTCCCTATTCAACAAATACTTGTTAATGAAGCTTGTGCCGTAGAAAAAAGAATCGAAAAAGGCAAAGTAGCTCCAAGACTGACATCACTTAATTGTCATTGCTTATTTTATCACCGGTATTTGTTGCCTTGTCGTCATATTTTTCACGAGCACATGTATGGTGCTACAAAACTGTTAACAATCGAAGCTTGGAAGAAATTTCAACAAATGTTTGAGGAGAGTGGCTTTGAGATCTATATGCATTATGAGTTAGTTGAAGTGAATACGGAAAATACAGAAGCAGAGAAAGCAGCTAAAAATCGACGGTCAACTATAAATGAGCTTACGGAAAGGATGCGTGATGTATATTGGAGGGTCGAAGAGAAAGGTAATGAGGAGCAAACTTATGCATTTATTCAAAAATTAAGTACGAGTTTAGAACACGTTTTAAATAATGAAAATAATTAAATATTAGAAAAGATCGAATAAATGAAATAACTAATGATAAAAAAATATTTAAAGTTGTTAAAGTTGTTGCATTTAATTGTAATATAGTATTGGTATAATTCAATTATTAAATAATGATGATTGATATCGATATTAACGTTAATTAATTAAGTAATATCGATATCATCTGATCTTGAATTGTGTAATTGGACACGGTATTGTCCGATCTCCGGTCACGTGACTAGACACGGCTTTAGACATTCCCCATAAATGACATACATGCTTTTCTCAAAACAGTTTTCAATGCATTAGATTTTAAGGAATTCAGAAAAACTAGTCTCAAAACATTTATCGATCGTCTTTCTCAAAGAAATTTATTATCGTAATGTCACAACCCTTGGAGGTAACTGAGTATGACGTTATTATTCTTGGCACAGGTTTGGTTGAATCAATTCTCGCTGGGTAAGAGTTTACTTTTTTGGACTTGTAAAATCCTCTTCAAAGGTATTAAGATCAGATATGTATAACAGTGCTTTGGCGAGAATAGGAAAGTCTGTCTTGCACTTGGATGCAAATGGGCTGTACGGTGGAAATTGGTGCTCGCTGAACTTTCGGGAACTTCTAGACTGGGTGCATAACATGCAAGGTTGTTCATTAGATTTAGTCACTTGGCACCTTATATAATAAAAATAAACGTTTGACAATTTTCACACATGAATCTTTTTAGACCCTCCTAATCCACTTGACGGAGACGATCAAGAAAGTAATTAGAGAAATTTAGTGTTTTTACAATTTGGCTTATCCGAATGAGTGAATAACTAGATGAACGCATTTTTGATCAGGTATTGAAGGCATGCAGGCCTTATCAACCAATTTTCCAATAGTTCGCCAACAAGCATATTCTACGCTCGAGTACGAAATCTATTCCATTGTCAAGAGTGATGATGTATCTCAAAAAAGTGATGAGTACGAGGGACCATCTAATTCGCAAAGTGAACTGGTCACCGATGCTAATTCGGCAAAAATCGTGCCAGACTATGATGCTTTGGCAAGATACTTATTAAATTCTGAAGAATCCGAGCAAAACGATGCCATAGCCAAAGTCATCACCGAACAATTCAAATCCAAAATTCTTGATCGGACGCGAGAAAATGAGGAAGCAATTGCGGTAGAATCTTCACGACTTTCTCATCTCCTTCAGCTTCACAAAGATTCCGAGAACATATCGGAAGAAACCGTACGTCACGTGTCAACTAGCCTATCTAATTTTGAGAGAATTGAAACCTTAGCTACTTTATTGAACGAGTCGAAAAAATATAATCTAGATTTGGTGCCTAAGATGTTACCATGTCGCGGCGAGTTCATAGATACGTTGATTAGCTCTGGAGTTAGCAGATATCTGGATTTTAAAGCTATGGATAAGACTTACATTTATTCAGACGGCACTTTTGACAAGGTTTGATACTTGATTTCATAGTACATCATGACATGTTATGCGATAAATTTACGCTTTGTCTAACTTGACAGGTTCCGTGTTCCAAAGATGATGTTTTTACTAGTCAGACCATATCTTTTGTTGAAAAGAGAACATTGATGAGATTTTTGACTTTCGCTTTAGATTACTCAAGTTCTCCGGAAGTTTATTCAGGTGATTAAAAAAATATTAGCATTCGTGTCGGCTCATTAAAACAGAATCGAGAGCGAATGTTTATTCGTAAAAAAAAAAAACGATTCAGGTTTTGAAGAGAAATCGTACGTTACTTTTCTCCGAGAAAAATTCAACATCGAAGGCAAATTATTGTCCGCTGTCTTGTACGCTATTTCGCTAATTCAAACCGAAGAATCGGGTGGTAAGTGCTTAAATTGAGTTTTGTCGGTCATCAATGTATTTAGCGCTAATTGTTTCGATTATTTTTATTATAAAAGTTAACACCATGCAAGGGTTAGAAAAAACCCAACGATATCTTAAGTCGCTTGGTCGATACGGAAATTCTGCATTCTTGGTTGCACTATACGGCAGTGTCAGTGAAATCGCACAAGGGTTTTGCAGGTATGATATGCATTAAGGAGTTTTCTCTGATTTTAGGTGTAGATGTTGCAAGTTCTTATGTTTCGATCGGTATAATTGTTTTCAGAATCTGCGCCGTGTACGGCGGCATTTATATGCTCGATCATCCTGTTAAATACATATTAATTAACGAAAATTCCAATAAGTTTTCTGGATTGGTGGATGTTAATGACCAGCAACTCTCATCTACTTTTCTAGTTGCAACGATTGACTACCTACCTACAAAATTCATAAAGAATGAGAAATGGTATGTATACGTTACAATCGTGTTTGTTTTACCTTCCCGTTTATTATCGACAGTATCAACTCAATATTATGTAGGGAGCTTACGTCACGTGCGATCGTGATTACAGATAAATTTATACACGAAGAAAGCGGTGATGTCACAATGACTGTTTTTCCACCTGACAAAGTGAACAACAGATATCCAATCAACGTGTTACAATTTTCCGCTGGAACGCAAACATGTCCTGCCGATAAATGTGAGTCTTTAACTTGGATTCTCCTCTGTTTTTTTAATGACATATAGATGTAACAAAGCAAGGTGAATCATATTATTCACAGCTATCCATTTTTTTATCGAATGATGGGCAGATGTTCTTTACTTATCAACGAAAGCGTGCGGTAGAAGTGCAAAAGAAGATTTGATCAACGCATTAGAAAAACTGATCAATATTCCTACCAATGATAATCAAGGCAAGTCGACAAGTTAAACGAATACCCAATCTCCTGATTTATTTGAACGAACAATTTTTTTTATTTTTTAAATCTAAGATGAGGAAGAGAATCTCAAGTCGAACCCTTTGTTCGCTCTCTTTTACCGCTATGAATGTCGCGTCTTCACTCCGGATTTACCGGATAATATAATTGTTGCTGATGATCCTAATTCATCGCTTGACTGCGAAAGCGCAATGATTCTAGCGAAGAAACACTTCGAAAGGATGTGTCCCAATGAAGAATTTTTTCCACCTGGGCCCGATCCAGATGAAGATGAATTTAATCTCGATTAATGTGAATGTTGTTATTCCCATTTTTGTTTAGATCGCACGTATTTTTTTTTTCCGGTGGTGTTGGATAAAGTGTATTAATGTTTACCTTGACACTTTGATGATTGAAGTGTAAATATTTAAGAATCCGTTAACATAGATCGATGAGCACGGCTTAGAACCTTAAATAAATGCTCTCACAATACGATGTGCCAGTAAAATGCAAACACTGTAACATGTACATCATTGTTGAAAAAATGTCAATTTAATCTCTTCAGTTTACATTAATTGAAGGTAATTTATTTATAATAATATGAAAGTCGCTGAAAACTTGAACTAGATGAATCCAATCTGAAAACAGAGGATCAAACATTAGAAATAATATTTTTGTCTAAAAGAAAAAAAAAACCCCAATTTATTAAATTCTAACCTTATTGGCGATGTCCAGGGCATCCATATCACTGGTAAGGCGAACATAAGCTTTCTTGGTTCCATTGGGTCTGATCAAATTAATAATTTAGATGATGATAATTTGGAAGTTTACAGAATGAAGAAGAAAGATTTACCTTATCAACGTATTGATTTTCAGGGCATCAACATCGTACAACTTTTTCACGGCTTCTTTAATTTGACGCTTGTTTGCTCGAGTGTCAACAATGAAAACGAGTGTATTTGTATCCTCTATTTTTTTCATTGCGGATTCGGTGTTTAGAGGGTTCTTTAAGATCTTGTACTGATCCAGACGAGGTGCATGAGGAACGGATTTACGTGGATACTTGGGTGTTCGGGGGAGGCGGAGTGTCTTGGGGCGACGGAAAGTTGTAGAAGTATGGATTTTCTTCTTTTTAATTGTAGGTTGAGTCTTCAAAGCCATACTCTTAGCCGCAAGAGCTTTTGATTTTTCCTTGGACTTGCCTTTCGACTTGTCCTTGGGTTTTTCTTTCGATGTTTCGCCAGTAGAGGCAGCGGTCTTCTTAGGTTTGTCGGCTGCTGTTATCGAGGCAATTAGTTAATAATGATCGAATTCTACGAGAAATGATGCCCTTTAAGTCGAAAGCTCAAAAATTGAAACACAAGAGATCCATCCATTCCCAACAAAATGTTGTCCGTGGTAAAGTCAACTGTTAGCTAATAAACTTCTGAAAAAGGATAACTCGCCTGGTTTTTTAGGAGCCATTGCAAAATAATGACCGTCAAAGAGAGAGGGCTCTAATGCTAGAAAACTTGTGCACAATTTATAATTTTTTTTTCTTCAAAATCGATATCTGTAGCATCATCCAATAAGAACCTATGTCTTATCGGCCGCAGTAGCGATAAAATTATAAATACAACCATCCAATATATCTTTTAGCAAGTGCTTTTTTCATGTCTCTCCAGGGACCTGGTAATTTTTCGGACGATGGTAGCACAGTCATATCGAGAGTTGTCGAGGATCAAAGCATTAAGTTGCTAAACTCGACCGAGCTAGAAAAGTTTTACGAAATTGAACGCACCGTGGATTCATTGACAAGCGGAGGCTACGAAACAGTAAGCGAACAAATTTTTGTAGTATCGAATTTGTTCGCCCAATAAAGACCCAAGAACGCGTCTTTTAGATCGCTCTCCAGTTCCCGGACGAATTGTTGGCTGATTCTGCCGAGGTCGCCAAAATTCTAGAGAACAGAACTCAAAAAAAAATTTTCATTTTGGCGGATACTTCTTACGGAAGGTAAGCCGAATTTACCTTTTTTTTCAGAGGATTTCGCATTCAATTCTTAACTTTTACCGTAACGTTTAGTTGTTGCGTTGATGAAGTAGCAGCTCAGCATGTCGATGCTGAATGCATAGTTCATTACGGACATTCTTGCCTGAGCCCGTAATAAATGTTTTCTATCTTTACTTTTCCTACTTTATCTATCACACAGACAAAACTTTAATTGCTAAATTTGTTAAGCACTTCCCGATTACCGGTTCTATATGTATTTGGAAAGCGGTCGGTTGACATAGATCATTGTTCGGTGATATTTGACGATTTTTTCGGGAACGATAATTCTCAAAGAATCGTTGTCATGTACGATGTGTTCTACGTTCACTGTGTTGGTAAAGGATTAACAGTTACTGCTTGTGATGTAATTTTCCAAAGCTCATCTCATTTTTTCTTCCAGATAATTTAATTCGGAAATTACGAGAAGAACTTAATTACATAAACGTCATTCAATCTTTTGTTAAATCAGATCCGCATTTACCGCACCAATCAAACGGTAAGAGATTTCAGTGAGGAAAAAAATACTTTGTTTTAAATAATTAATGTCTATCCTCCTGAACTTTTAATCAAGACTCAGCGTGCGCACAAATTCAAGGAAGGTATTATTTACTTCCAGAAGGAATAAACATTAATGACTGCCCAATATTTTATATTGGTGGAGAAAGTCCTACACTATCGAATCTGTTGCTGACACACAGTAAGTGTAAAGTAAGTGTCATAATATTATATAAAGACACGTTTTGCTGAAACCATTTATTAAGAATAAGTTTTTTGTTTCAAGGTGTATTCATATAATCCAGAGACGCGTGTAGGGCGTGAAGAGAGTTTGCACGTAAATCGTGCATTAATGAAACGGTATGGACGTGCGTAATATAATAAATTTGACCATTAAAGAAAAACGTTTTGCAATCCTAAAATCATTTTTGATAAATATTCTATTTAGTTATTATATGGTTCAGAAGGCTAAAGACGCAGATGTTATTGGGATAGTTGTTGGAACTTTAGGAGTAGGTAAGGTGTGGGATTTAATTTATTTCTAAAATGTCCGATCATCGATAATAATGTAAATTCTCTTGATTAGCTTCATATCTGACAATGATTACGCATCTAAAGAACCTTATTTCACGCGCCGGAAAAAAATCTTATACGTTTGTCATGGGCAAACTCAACGTAGCAAAGATGGCGAACTTTATGGAAATCGACTGTTTTGTACTTGTGGCTTGTCCGGAAAACAGCTTAATTGATTCAAAGGTATTATAATTTTATTGGTCGACCAGGACCTTCTGCTTGTGTCCGTAGTAACAATCATCCTTTTTTAGGAGTTTTACCGACCAATAGTAACCCCTTTTGAGTTGGAAATGTCACTGGATCCGTAAGTTCTAAAATTACTGCAGTTATCTCGAGTGAGAGGTCCGTTCAGATGACTGATTACATTCTATCATTCAGTTCAAAGGAATGGACCGGGGAATATACAACTGACTTTCGGCAATTATTACAAGGCAGCTTTCGTTTTTTTTAAATTGGCAAATCAATTCATTCGAGGGATCTCATATAATTTGAACTAAATTACAGAATCACAAAGAGATGCCGTGGAAGGAATTGAGGTATTATTTTACTTCTGTAATATCTGTTGGAAGAAAAATTTTTAATACTCGAACCTTATATTGTAGACAGACTTGGTTGAGAGTGACGATGAACCACATTTCTCTCTGGTTACTGGTAAATTAAAGCAAGGTCGGAAGTATGCGATCAAGGATATCACTGGTAATTACTTCTGTGGTTTCACGTGATTCTCTGTTACGAAATTTGCTAATAGTTGGCCATAAAAGAAGGCATAGACAACGTTAATGTTTCGGGCGGTATTACCGACTTGACCTTGCGCAACAAGAATACATCGATTTCTACTGTATTGGGTAGCGCTGCTGGTTGGTATTGTTTATTCTCTTTCTTTTCTTCACTAGATCTGAAACATTAACCATTATGCAGGGGAATTTTTGAATTCCCGAATGTTTCGAGGTCTTGAACAAAATATCGGTGAAACGGAAGTTCAGTTGGCAGAGGAAGGTCGAAAGGGTATCGCTAGAGGTTATACTGATGAAGAAGGAATTTGATTACTCCAATCCCCTAGTTTTTCTTTTTTGTTTATTTTTTTACATCTTTATGTACAATGGCATAATGTAAACAAGAGGTGATCCGGAATGAATGAACCCAATATTGTAGTGGATGGTTTGACCTCATGATTCTCATGTTTCATTTGAATGGGAATGCCTAGACAATGTAAGTTTGATACTACAGTTGGTAACACTGATAATAGACTGTTTAAAGAGAACAAGGTAAGTTTACATTAATATATTAATATATGCGTATCACGTGAAATGAATTAGGTGCCTATTCGATAATCTGATATGATATGATTATCTCACATGATATTCTTGATAAAGTCACTAATCTAATAATGGTAAAATGAATTTGATTGGTTCAGTGTGGCACATGCATGTGTGGGACAAACGATAAGCAAATCACTATCGGATAAAAGCGATGAGCGTTTTTGAAAAAAAAAAAAAAAATCGGAATGTTTGATATACACAAAAACGCCTCACCCCTTTTTGACCTTTTTTCTACATCGTGTGGTAAGATGTATCTCATGCAATGTACGCCAGTTAGATGTTACAAAAACTGTATATGATATCACTGTAAAGGGTCAGTTCCCGAGGAGAATTTCGATAATGCCACGATTGATTTGGGATACATGGTGATGCCACGATGCCACCCTATGAGTGATGCCACATAAAACCCTGACCCAGTTTGCACCACCACTTTAAAAGTACGAAATCACAGTACTACAAAGGACTCATAGCAAGACAATTTTTTTTTCGTATCTTGGTCAAACCGTAGTGTGCTCGTCGTTGCTCCGGCTTTACTTAGTGTCTTACTGTCAACGCATCTGCTCGTCTTGTCCAATACATATTTCATCTAAAAACTTGAAAGAAAACTCCCCGTTTTTTACACCACACCTTCATAAAAATGTCTAACGTAAGTTTTATGTCTCCTTAACTGTCACTGCGCGCTGCACACCGTAGAATTCTGTGTAGAAGGAATTTACTTGTGATCGGCAGTCGGATGACTTAAAAATTTTCCCTGCCTACCAATCGCCGAACTCTAGATGGCGTCTGTTTCGTATTATTTTATGGCTTGCAACTCGTGTTTACACTTATTATCCCTTTTTAATCACGGCATTCCATCTTTCTTTTACAGGAACGCGAAAACCAGGTATTTGACCGCGTAAAGCCTCATATATTGTTCTTGACTTTTGTTCTTTTTTATGATTTTTCGAGAAAAATGTGACAAAAATTTGTTTGATTCTTAATTGTTGACCTCCAAAAAGGTTTACATGGCTAAGCTCGCTGAGCAAGCCGAACGTTATGATGGTAATTTCTTTGGCTCGCCTTCTTGGCTTCATTTCATTCGACCCAATTTTTTTTTACTAAACTACCGCTTTATTCAATTCCACATTCTTATCGACATTTGATCAGAAATGGTTTCCTATATGAAAGTATGTATTCTTGATGAATTTCCTATCCTCGTTTTTCTCTTCTTCACCCATTAACTGACTCTTTGGTTGTGTTTCATCGTATCTTTTGCAGGATGTTGCCAAGGTAAACGTGAACCCATATTTCTTATCCTTTCGGTTTTTCATCCATTGCTTAACCCTACATTATGTCAACCTCTCTCCTATCTATGTAATCCTACCGCTATATGTAAAATTTGCTATTGGCTTAGCTTGGTGTAGAGCTTACTGTTGAAGAACGCAACCTTCTTTCAGTGGCTTACAAGAATGTCATTGGTGCCCGTCGTGCTTCTTGGAGGATTATTTCATCCATTGAACAAAAAGAAGAGAGTAAAGGCAATGAGACCCAGGTCCAAAAGATTAAATCGTACCGCCAGAAGGTTGAAGCCGAACTCTCCGAAGTCTGCTCGGATATCCTTGCCGTTTTAGACGAACATTTGATTCCATCTGCTGAGGCCGGCGAATCAAAAGTTTTCTATTATAAAATGTGAGTGAATTGTGTCTCCTGTGTTTTCTTTCTTGTCAGTCAGAAGATCTAGAGGCTTTGTGCAATAAGTAATACTAGCATTTATTGATGGATTAATTTAAACGAAGTCTTTGGTGTGAAATTCCAAAAATAGAAATATTTACAATAATTATGAAAGTCTGTTACAACTCGTGAAACGATAGTCTAAATATACATATTGGATGGCCTCTTTTTTTTTTAAAAAAAAAAAAAATACTCATTCACCATTTTTTTCACGCATGTAGGAAAGGCGATTATCATCGATATCTCGCTGAATTTGCATCCGGCGAGAGGCGAAAAGAAGCTGCCACCCAGGCGCACGAGGCTTATAAGCATGCGACAGAAATTGCTCAGACTGACCTTGCCCCAACTCATCCAATTCGTCTTGGACTTGCGTTAAACTTTTCTGTCTTTTACTATGAAATCCTTAATTCTCCCGATCGTGCTTGCCATCTTGCCAAGCAAGCATTTGATGATGCCATTGCAGAACTTGACACTCTAAGTGAAGAGTCGTATAAGGACAGTACATTGATCATGCAGTTGCTAAGGGATAATCTAACCCTTTGGACTTCCGATTTGCAAGATGGTTAGTCTTCTATTTCAATGGTTTGACTCGATGTATGTATGTATGAAATTCCATCGATTAATCTTCTTCCTAATCAATTTATCAGACGCAGATAAGCCGGAAGAGCCTAAAGCAGAAGTTGAAACAGAAGAAGCCAAGTAACATTAGGATGATGATTCTATTCTCACATCATATATATATATTCAAGACCCCTCATAGTTAAATAAGCGATCAATTTTATTTTTTTTTCTTCGCCTGTTTATTATTTTCATTCAAGTTGCATAATTGAAATTTCATTGGGGTAGTGGTGTGTCAGTTACGTATTACGGAGTCCTTTATTATTTCACCCTATTACATTTTTTCGAATTTTTTTATAATATATATATAATATACCTTTTTAAATGCAAAAAAAAAACAACAAACAAACAATCCCAAAAAGAACGAATCGTTGATTTAAGCCTAAAATGAAAAACATGTGATTACGTGATGAAACATATTTGTGAATTCCATGGATTCATGAATAATGCACCCAAAAAACACAAGGTTTCTTATCCGATTAGTATCCTGGACTGAACGTGTCGCCACAAAAACCTCTGGTCATGTTATCGGATAACGCCACAACCTCCTGTCCAATATAACAATTAAATATCACCTCTGTAATATATCGCATGTCATAAAGAGTATGCAAATGCATTTTCATTTTATTTTAAATATTTATACAAAATTTAACTCGTGTACCTAGTTCTGGTTCAGCTATTGACTTCTTAATTAAATTAATAAATAGTTTACTGTTTTATAAAAATTACGCAATGGATCTTATTTTCTGTAATAGGAAACAAATAACAATAACTTAATGTTACATTAAATAAACATCATTCCAAACTTTATTCTCAAATATCTTTATATCAATGGTGAATTATTAACCTTATGCATATATTGAAAATATTATATAATCTTTTTTAATATCATTAAAATCGGGCAAATTATTAATTTGGATACATCAATAAGAAATAATCAATTTAAAAAATTTACCATTTATTATTTTAAGTTAATATTATTTATTTTATTTTTTTTAATATAAAATTAATTTCACAACTACAGTATAAAGAATTTTAAAAATTAGGCATTAGCCAAATAGTACAATCAATAATAAAAATCTTGACATATAATATTGTTAAGCCTGAAACTTGAATTTTTCCAAAATAATAAAACCATTTTAATGCAATATATTAAATACACATTAGAATGATTCCATCATTATGGCTAATCCCTGTATAATCAATCAATGTATTACTGCAATTATTAACCCATGTAACTTTTTTTTTTTTAATGCAATGTATATATTACTTTATCAAATTAATATGTTAAGTTCTTTGTCGACATTAGGTCGAAAATATGTTCGATTTTAAACCAAATTGGGTAAATTAATCGGGCAGGGCTAACTCACTATAATAGATTAGCGCCCCATCAAGACATCAATCATATTTGAAATGAATCCTATAGCGAATTATGTGAATCATTATCCCCAATTTATCTATACATGTGTTAGGATTCGATTTTTTGATGGTACTCATGGGGCTGTTGCTGGCCGAAACGCGGATTTACAATCAAGGGTGCAATGGATATCACCATCGAAATTAAATAGTGGGTCACCATAAGCATTCCCACATTAAATACTCACGTATTTTCCGCCAAAGCCCACAATGTACTACTTGAATTAGCCAAACATGATCGATACAAGCTTACGGGAGTTGTAATAATTCCCTCACCACTAGAATAAATCGAGTTTCTCATCCAGACCCACCAGAGAATGTTACACGAGTGACGGTTGGCGAACAGGTGACATTTTTTTTTTATATCGGAATATGTTTTTTAATTTGACTAAAACTAATTTAGTGTCTATCTACTATTAATCCTTTATCTATATTGTTTTTAATGAAACAGAAACAACATTTAACAATATAACCGTTACTAACTTAATATTTATTCAATCAATTTTTAACGAATGCAATATATTTTAAGATTAAGAATAAATATACTATTGTATGTATGATGTTGATAAAGCAATGCTTTTTGATGAATCTATTAAAAGATATAAATGGCGAATCATTACAAATATGAGAAATAAATATATGCATAAGCCTGCTCAATTTAGCTTTTATTAAAATGCACTTGATTGTTTAAGATTATAATTCGCAGATTATCTTTACAGTATCATATAAATTAAAAAAGAAAATAGTATAAATGTATATACCGTATACGCGTATTATAATCCATCTATCAAATTATTAAGTAAAAATATGAATTAGATTTTTTTTATCAATTTATTTTTTCTTATAAAAATATTCTCGTTATAAATCTTCTAAATAGATTTTTTATATTTAATTATAAAAATAATTATGAAAAAAAAAAAAACTATTATTTGTTTACCACTGATTTTTTGAAAATTTTCTTTTATAGTAATTTTTTTAAAAGAAGTACTCTTTTCTTTTTCTTCAATATGTTAACCATATTATAAGCTTAAGGACATAAGAACTTTAAAGACTACTGTTGTAATAAAATAAAACCTCCAGTCAAAGGTTAAGCAAGTTTGAAAGTTTTGTTTATTCTTTAATTACATAAAAAAAAATCTATAACAATTCTTCTTTATAACTTTGTCTTTATCTATTTTTTTTCTTTTAACAATTATAAATACTAATTTTATATAAATTCTCAACATTGTAAATTTATTTCTAAAATCCTATTCAAGCAAAATTACTGAATTTCTTATTTGTCTCAATCTAATTTTTTTAACTATTTTTCTGATATATAATGTTATACTACTTAAAAATCTATAATATTTTCTATAATGCAAAAAATCAAAATCAGTTTTATTTCTATAAACAATTAATACAAACTTAACAATTAATCAAAATTTAATAAATATATTTTATAACAATTAAACTGATTTAAATTTGTTTATAATAACAATAATGATAATATTTAATAAAAACATTCCAATAGTTTTTTTAATCATGATACTTTTAACAATAACAATATTATAGCTATATAAAAATATTAGATTTTTCATATGTTTTACTTAGCTCTTAAACAGTTATCATATGGTTTTATAGATTTAAATAACATATTCAAAATCCAATTAAACTTTTCAAATAAAAAAACTGCTATAATAGTTTTTTAAATCCAGATAATATATTTAAAACTCAATTATAAAATTGTTATTACTTCTTTTTTTAACTTAATTGTTTACAAATAAATATAAATTATTTATAAATTACTTTTGATATAATAATATTTTTAGAGTATAATATTATATTGAAAATTTTATATACAATAAACTAGTATTAATTTAAATAAATATTTAATATAAGTCCCTACAGTATTCTCATTATAAGTAATCTTAAATCCTAACAACATAAGCAAATATCAACTATGCAACATAATCAGTAAATTGTTTATCACATCACAATAAAGAGATAATATTCTTCAATTCATTAACAACTTTTCCATCTTTCCTCCCATATCAGTACTTTAAAGAATTGGCTTTTGCCAACAATACCATTTTTAACTTCATCAAAACAAAATCTTTGTGAACAGTACAAAAATAATATCAAACAGTCCAGGATATCAATTAAAAGATTTTCTTTATATAATAATAGATATCTTATATTAGTGCCTATCAATTTATATCATAAAATAAGAAACAATAAAAAAATTTTTTAAGAAGTCTCTAATTATTCAAAAAGAATAACAAAAACCAACTTCACTCTAATATTATTAAAAATTAACAAATTAATATAAAACAAATCAATTCAATATAAATATACCAATCCCAAATTTAATTCAAGATTTGATGATACTCTTCAATGGTCCAATTCATCACTCCACTTTTCTGAAAGCCCACTAAATTAACAATCTACAACTAGGCAGCAGTATCAAATAGTATAAAAAAATCCTAAGCATTATCAAAACCTATATAATCTATAAAAGTTTTTTAGTTTTTAAAATATTTGAATATATCTACAAACTCCAAGGTCTCAAAATCATTAACAAATCAAACAAAAAAATAAAAAGCTTTAGAGTTAACAAATATAGTGACCTTATTATCTTCAAAATCAAATTGCTTTCAGAAACCCTCTATATAAGAGAAAATTTTTATAGATTATATCCAAAACAATATTCTAATCCATATTGTTTCCAGTGTAGCTTACACACTGAGGATATCCAATATGTTTTCAAATGCTTATTAGTATCAGAAGATATTAACCAACTTATCACTATTATCAACAATATTCTTCACCCTGACAATAACCACAAGCCTATCTCACATACTTGACAACTAGCAAATCTGACATGTGGTATCACAAACAGCATCTTCTTCACAACTAATTTTTTTAATTGGGTTAAAGCTTTAATCAAGATTTTGACTCATCTATACAAGTCAATTTGAACACCTTGCTATATCACAGTAAACACCTCTCCTCTCACCAGTATCAAATAGAACAATAACTTTTATAGTGACACAATAAAACAAATTATTAAAAACCTAATCAAAACTAAATTATCCAATAATAACTCCATATTAACATCAATTATTATAGATGTATCCACCATTATAACTGATTTATATATCCAAAGTGGATTCAACTTTACTAAATATATTTCCAAACTAATTTCAGATCTCTCTAACTTTCTCCCATCCAATGCTGAGTAAGTAATTATAGTTGCTTGGAGTTGCTTAACAAGATATATTGTTTTAAAAATTTCTTTTCAATATTAATCTAGTGATTACTATAGGCAAGCTAACATTTAACTTGTTATACTAGTACACATGAGAGATATTGTTTCTTTCACAATATATATTTATTACAGAAGGTACTTAAAAGTTATTGGACAAACTTTAAAAATTTATATTCAACTGTATATATAGAATTAAAAAAAATATGCAATAATTACTGAAATATTAAAAATTTTAAAAAAGTTTAAAAAATTACTCAAACTGAAAATAAAGATCACTTGAGAAATCAAATTAAAGTAATTTATTTAACTTTTTTTTTTATACAATTTATTATTTAGTAGGACCCCCTTTAGCCGTGATGTATACTTTTACACATTGTGACATGCTGTCTATTATTCATTGACAAAGTTGACGTGGTATATTT